CTAGCTACAGCCGCAGCAAGCTACAGCACCTCCTCCGCCGCTGCCTGGCGGCCCTCGCCGGCGAGCATGGCGACCCACAATCTGTCCTCCTCTGAGCACCCTAACCAACCAGCTCTCTCTACATGACGCTTGTAACCACGCTGCCACTTCCCAGCACCAAGCTGCATTGTATATCCAATACAACATGTATACAGAGAGCACATTGTGGGTTTCCTTTCTCCATCCCATCCTGAGTGTGAACCAAACAACCTGTTCCCCACAGTAGAACCTGTACTGATCCTGCATTACTCCCCGCCCCCTCCCGTGGCCCTCCTAATACGTCAGCATAACTTCTCTTAGCAATCACCTCCATTCTATCTGCTACTTCCTCAGTCTTGGCAAGATCTCTTTCCCAACTTGCTCCAGTTTGGCAATCAGCAGGGCTCCAGCTTCATCTATTTTCGTCCCTAGAGAACTCGTTTTTCCTTGTGCATTCGTATATACGTGAGCCTGGGGCAGTTCCGGCCTACGCATACATACCAGAAAGGCTAATCTCACCAACAACAGAAATTCTATTCAACTCGGTCGCTGTACACTCAACTATGAATATCAGTGTCACGGGTCAGGTGAATTTCTTATGTTTATTTTTATAATCTAATCAGAGATTGGGTTTGCCAGGAAAAAGTGAAATGGACGTTAAACACGCACTAACAACTTTATTTAACAGAAACCACAAACCACAGCCAAGGAATTCTTCCTTGTGGAGCCGTTAGGTTTTGGAGATTTTGAGTTTGACAGAATCTTTTCAGGAGATTAATGACTTTCTTAAATAGACAACTGACACTAACTAAACTACAAACATCAGATTCTCTGATATTTGGGGATCAAAATAATCTAACTTCAGTAGCACTTAGAATCTCATTGTTATACCCAAGGACGATATAAGGATATGCCACTCTTACTGACAGACTCGACACTCACTTACTTGACAAGTTTTACTAAAAATAAAGACAGTTGAAGCTTTCAGCATCACTCATAATGGATCTTGAATTTTCCAACTGGAATCAGACATATCTAAGTTGCCTCAACATATGCATCCAAAGATGTAATTTCAAATTCTGTGTCATTATACTAAGGAAAAATGAAGTTTCGGGTGTACTCTAAGATTGAGAGAAAACGGAGGATTCAGGCATCTTGAAGCGATGAGAAAAACGGGCTCCTCAGACGGGGGACTCCAATAAAGAAAGCATAGCTACATATTTTGTGGGCTATTGAGCGTAATATGAATCGTCTGAATTTACGTTAACTGACGTGTACGACCGTGGTCATTACACAGGCACCAGTCTGGTGGCCCTCATTTAAAAATTTTCAGCCAACTGACAGTCCCGAGCATATCTCGTGGACCAGACGGGGTTGTAGTGGAATTCTCCCCTACAAACGCTGTTTGTCGCTGCCTAGCCGACCCCACCAATTCCCCAGTGTATGCCTCGTGGTCTAGGTCAACCAGCGCCGCCATACACCACGGAGCGGGGGTCAACTGCTAAGCCACGCCTACCCCCGCTATTTAAGACCTGACCTCGTGGTGATCTGTCGCTCTTTCTACCTGACGCCTGCCTGGACGAGCCAAGCTCGTGAGCGACCAGCTCTCTCTACATCACGCTTGTAACCATGCTGCCTTCCCAGCACCAAGCTGCATTGTACATCCAATACAACATGTATACAGAGAGCACATTGTGAGTTTCCTTTCTCCATCCCATCCTGAGTGTGAACCAAACCCTGTGCCCGCTGCCGCTGTATGTAGCTCTAGCCACTCTCCCAGATCAACCATAACATGTGTGGTGAACTGGCCTCAGAAGAACAACACCCAACTGGGCCCCAGGCTGGCGGGTCATCCACCCACTTATTGCACAACAATCGGTGAACGCCGTACGCAGACTGTTCCACTGGTGTGGCTTGTAGCACCGTCGGTTATCATACATAGTAGCACCATCGCAACACACCTGACCTGCAAGTATGTGGTGACTTTTATCTCGTTCGCCCTCTCTTTAGAGACATACTATTTCTACGCCAGGTCGCTCCAAGTGACGACCGCAGTTTCTCACGGTCTCCACTATTCATGTGGACGCTCCACCGGTTCGTGCGCTGGGAATCCACCGGTTCATAGTGGACTGGTATAGTGGGGAGTAATTCCCCACCTGGTGTGGCGCTCCAGGAGACAATGGCGGCCGGGCGGCAAGATACCCCAACCACGTGGCACCTGTGTTGACGGCAGAACGGGAAAGACTAAGCAATAATGCCTGACGGGCGGTTATCCCATCCCTTAACACATCCCTATCACACTTATATATCCGGCAAAGCTTTAAACTGTAGTCACTGTTATTTATCAACCTTAATTGTAGGGCGGGATATAGCCCGCTAGGACACTGACCTGTGTTGACGGCAGAACGGGAAAGACTAAGGCCGGCTTCCCGCCGCTTCTCGTCACATAGGCCTACAGTTTCCAATCCTCAATTTACATTTTTGTTTCTTATGGTTCTCCCCTGAACACTTTACGGTATATTGTCCCTCATTTCTTATAAACACATATATTAATCCTAACTTATACACTAAGGTCAGGTCTTGGTTTGCTAGTGCTTGGTTAAATGCCTGGGATTTTAATATCAACGGGCATCTGAGGCGGGTACATGACGCGCCTTGAAACAAAAGCCGAATGATCATGGCGGGGGTGTATCAACTTCACTTAAAAACTGTAATGAGGGGTCCTCCTCTCACACAGCGCACTATTTGAACACAGACCTCAGATTCTCTGATCACTGTACCTGTCGTGGGTATATGTCACGTGAGGCTACGAGGTGTATTAAATTCATACCGACGCATACACGATATTTCCTTTCCAGTATAGTTTCTAGATCACTGTCAACACCTCACATAGTTCTGATACATTTATCCCTTTTTCCCGATCATTGTTCTCATGTATTTTCATATGATATCTGTTGGAGTTAGGTTCGCTACACGCTCACAGACGTAAATAGTAGGACCTTCAAACCCTGCTCCACACTTAGTCTTACAGTACCCTAGTCCGGCTCAACTGGACTTTAACATTCATCTTATGCCTACCCTGAGTGATCCTTAATGCTATGAATACATACACTTGATATGATATAACTATAACTGGGTACAATACCACACATGGTCTAGGAACCTTGAGTAGGTGAGTTGTCCTTTCTCAATGTTTCCCGTTTTCTGGGGTTCTACAAGCGCTGTGCATTTGAATGTTATGTAGCGTAATATGAATTAGATGGGATTTTTAGGGATGACAATGATGTGCGCAGTACACGGAGATTCGCACTCACACAGGATGGAGGAGAAACTGATCACGCTCCCAGTCTTCAAGCAACATGGAAGACTGGCTTATCCACCCAGAAGCAGCTCTCATCGGCTCTACAGCTACTGTTTCTACACCGCAGGTTAGACAACCTAGAGCAGCTCTGCTACTCTAAGCAGACACCAGCTCCTCTTCCTGCCCCAAGCACCACGTCCTACCGACCCCAGCACACCCGTCCTGCCTCAGACGCCGACCCCGGCCCAGCAGTAACCCCTGCCGCCCCTGATGCGGCCTCTGTTCCTGAGTGCGGACCCACACACCCCTCTTTTCTCCCTCAGGTACTCCTGCTAATGTCCTGCACCCTGCTGCTGTCGTGGACCCAGCTGCTGTCACGAGCCCTCATCCGCTTCTGCTGACGCAGCCCCTGCTCCTGACCCAGGCCCACACACCCCAGCAGGCGCATCTGACGACTCTGTACCTGCCGTGAGGGAAGCACAACATTCATCGCCTCCACACACCCTTATTCTCCCTCTCTACTCCAACAGATATTGTGTATCTAGACAGTTGTCCCCAGCGACCGGCTCATCCACGCCATCGCCGTTGTCTCACATGAGGCACGCACCGCCCGTTCTGCCTCACATGTGCTATGCAACCCTGCAGACAACAAGTCTCCTACACAGCCTGGAGGGAAGGGGGAGTATTGTAGTGGAATTCTCCCCTACAAACGCTGTTTGTCGCTGCCTAGCCGACCCCACCAATTCCCCAGTGTATGCCTCGTGGTCTAGGTCAACCAGCGCCGCCATACACCACGGAGCGGGGGTCAACTGCTAAGCCACGCCTACCCCCGCTATTTAAGACCTGACCTCGTGGTGATCTGTCGCTCTTTCTACCTACACCAACCAGCCAGCAACACCTCCGCCTGCCTGGCGGCCCTCGCTCCTCCGCCTGCCTGGCGGTGCTCTCTCCCGCTGGCGAGCATGGCGACCCACAAGCTGTCCTTCTCTGAGCGTCCTCACCAACCAGCTCTCTCTACATCACGCTTGTAACCATGCTGCCTTCCCAGCACCAAGCTGCATTGTACATCCAATACAACATGTATACAGAGAGCACATTGTGAGTTTCCTTTCTCCATCCCATCCTGAGTGTGAACCAAACATCTGGAACCCCACAGGGTGACAGTACTCCAGATGGGGAAGCACTTTACTCCTGAAGATCGTTACGAAGGACGGACCGTCTCAACACTGGATAAACCTCACAAACGGCTAGTAATCTGATAAGAGGCGAATATGATAAAAAATACATTCTAGAATATTCTTAACTGCTGCATGGGACAGAAAACAATAAAAACACCTAGTTTACAAGACTATAATACGAAATCATGCCTCAGAATAACACTGTGTTCCTGATTTCAAGTTACCGCAGTTATCCTATATAGGTGTCACGTTTAACAATGAAAACGTATTTATGACGTCATGGTCTCGTCAGCCCTGAGCCCAGGCATTCTGGAATTTCTGGCTGCCTGGCAGTCAAATCCCTCCTTCCACCTCGGCAGGTGTTCACCAAACTGTGCGCTCAACATACTCGACCGTCACCCAGTGTGAGTATTCATGTATATCTTGCTAATTATATATATTTTTTAAGACTTGAGATTAGCTGATATGGTGCACTCAAATAGTAGTGAGTGTAGTGACGTCATATGTAAACAAACATGAATAACACGCGTGGACAGTAACTGAACAGCAGCTGCTGTTAACAGTGTACAGCACCTGTTGTTAACAATGTGCAGCACCTGTTAACAGTGTACATCACCTGTTGTTAACAGTGTATGTTCTGCACAATATTGGAAGCTGCCCAATCAAAATCGTATTATGCATTATGGGACATCTCATAATGCACACATTGTCAGGAATTGTTCGGTCTTGTTCTGGAATTACCCGGTAAGTTTTTAATGTCACCACAGTTTACCCTAACCTAACCTGCCACACTGGGAATAATAGTAAGGCACAGGATCAATATTTAGAAGTTGCCACCACCTAATTGACTTTTGAAAAAGTGCCTTTATAGTGTAAATCATCATGTTAAATACAAATGTGACCTTTATTGCCTTCGAAAATGAGCAGTAGTTGAGATATTGAAAAAAAAAGCGGAAGGTCAAACAATGTAAAAACCTAAAAAAAAACCCCACCTAATCTAACCTAACCCCTAGTGTGTAGAAAACCTACCTTAAATAAGAGATACAGGAAGGTGAAGTGATGTCTTCGTCAGAGTTTGTTTCTTATCACAGTACCATGCATGGCGACCTACAGTACATGTTACTGACAACGGCTGCTGCTACATTGTCCAAAATGCCCTGAATAATGCGGCAGCCAGCCAATGTACATCCATATTGCACAGATACCTTCTTCCAGCTGGCCACGAACGCTGATTAGCGCACGAGCATTATGTCACATCGGCACTAATGCTGATTGGTGCACATGACTATGACATCACATCATCACTCACGCTGATTGGCCAAATATTATAAAATAAAAGTTAAATTAACTCGAAAACTATAAATTTCCTGCGGAAAAATTGCAGAATAAATTATTTTTATTCCTTTTCTCTATCTCCCCATAGATGACTCAATATTCAGTTAGGTGGTGGCAGCTTCTGAATAGGGGGTACCGTTCTTGCCTCACAAGCGAGATGTCACGGGTTCGATTCCTGGGCCGGTGGAAGCTGTTTGGACTTACTTCCTAGCCCCCATTAGTCTCTGTTCACCAAGCAGTAAAGTAGGTACCTGGTGTAAATCGAAAGTTGCGAATTTGTATTCAGGGAAAGTTGTTGGAGCTTCCAATAACTTCATGACATAAACCACTGACTCTTCAGGCTTCTACGCCCTTAACTCGTGAGACATAAAGGCAAGCATGAACTTAGCATGCTTCCCTGTTGGGCGCTGTAAACGCTTCTGCGCTTCATCTTACACAAGGATATAGGGGGGTGCCCAATAAAAAAAAAAAAAAAGCTTCTGAATATTAACCACGCACAGCATGTAGGTACAGCAGCTGTATGTGAAACATCGATGCATGGTGGGCAGACTATACAATGATAGTTACCAAGTTGGCTTTCTTTCTCACTGACCTAAGTTAACCTAACTTTAGCTCAATACACCTAACTTAACCAACTTAACTCAATCAAACTAACCTAACTTACCCTATAACCTAACGGATACACCCCATTTCGTTACCAATCTACATTGTCACCAACACGGTTCGTCACCAAAACCCCTACTCGTCACCACTAACAGTCGCTGGTATTAGTGACAAATTGTAAGTTATTATTTTACACGAATAGAAATTACACATGTATACAGATGACTCGAGAAGTATTGTTTTATTATTATACATGAATATTAATTATTTAATAAAGAAAACGATTCAACATTGGTAAATAAACAAAATGCAGAGCAAATAAAGGTGATTTGGCACCAGCGCATAAACTGCCGAGCAGTGAGATGATTTTTCTTAGTGTTTTTTATTATTTTATATCCCAAGCAACAGTTATTTTCATGTATATAATGATGTGAATGAACGGGGTGACGAAAGGGGTAAAGCAGTGGTGACGAAGCGAGTTAAAATAAGTGCTGACGAAGCGGGTTGTTGACGATATGGGCAGACCCCAACCTAACCTACCCAAACCTAACTGGTAAATTTGCTGTATCAGGCCTAACTACTGTTCGACCATAAAAATTTTTTCCCATGGTCTTTGGTCTGATTTATATAAATTTGACCTTCATTTCCATCGGAAATTCGGAAATGGGTCTTTTTTAATTATCTCCCCCCATAGAACCTGATCTAACCAACCAAAGAAACCTACCTAACTTCCTAGCCATCCCCGTCATTTTAAACAGAAACTACTTATTTTGATATCTGGTACCAATGAAAGCACCTTTGTTGAAGCATTATGGTGTAATTTTATGTTTTTTTGTGGACGTGAAAGTATGCTCAGACCGAGCGGGTCAGTTGTAAACAAACAGTGACTGTAGATTTACATTAATTTCTTTGGTGAATTTACTATCTCGGTTAATATCCTTTGGTGATGGAAGCAGTATTATAAAAAGTTGTTCCCATTGATGAGATATAACTAATGGTAAACACAAAATTACTTTAACCGAGTTAGAGCTGATACTGCAATAATACCACCTAACCTAACCAACCCAACCCAAACTTAATCTAACCTAACCTAACTATTAACAACACAGTCTGTCAATATAACTGCCTTACCTGTATCCAGTGTGTACCCACTACTTAATAATAATAATACACTAGTAACTGTAATGTTAACAATTATAATATTAATAATGCAAGTTTACAGTTGGTTTTGCATGTATATAGACTACAGTATTCAGTACTTGTATATAATTCACCTTGTATATAACTATATAGATAATGTACTTAATGTATATTATGGTGTACATGACCGTGCAGGTGTACAGATTCCAATTTACCTAGAGAGTGCAGGTAGCTGTTATATGTAACAATGTTAAGGTATTTTGACCAAGGATAGCCAACAAAGCTATCAGATGTTTATTTGCAGTTAATACTGTACTGCATAGCTATAGAAAAATCTCTTCAGGTTGTAGCTTCATCTGTTAAGGATTTTTTAGTTATGGCTCTTTAATGTTTGATACCATTAATGGTTTCAATATAACCAGGGAACTTGTGCCAGTCTGTTACAGCTGTGAAAAATAAAGGGATTTTCACTTGACTGCATACACTGGTAGATAGTACCATAAAATTGTGTTCACTCCCTCTAGTGCCCTGCCGGCTCCTGTCTCTAATCCTTAGAAAGTTTGCTGTTAGGTACTCTTGGCTCTGTCCATTGAAAATCCTGTAACTGTGATTCATCCTCAATTGCATCACCATCAGCCACACCTAACATGTTCATTGATTGTAGGACTTAGTGAACAATGTGATTTCTTGCTTTTATGTCAAGATTGAACTTCATCACCATGTTTTGAATAATTTTTAGCTTGGATTTTAGCCTTTGTGTTAAGGTAGAGTATCTTGATAATAGGAATAGTCCAAGTGTCATTGTATGAGTGCCAAGCAAAGGGTCATACAAGAATTAGTTGTAAGGCATTTAGCATGTCTATAAAAGAAATGTAATCCTGGCATTAGCTACTTCTATCTACTATATTATCCGAGATTTATTCTCCGATAAGCAAGAGTTAGTTAGTCTAAGGTATAGTACAGTATTTCACTGATGTTTGTTGTCATACTTGAATTTTGTGTACTCCTTAGAGTTTTGATCTAACAATATTGCTTCAATCTTTACAAGATGAAGGTATAACTTGTCAATCAGCCATTGTTTACATGACTCCTGTTGAGATCTTTACCTGTCACTGAAAGGGCACAGTCATCAGCACACAACAAAACTTTGCTGTAATGGCTCTCTCATTTACTGTATGTAACACACAAAGAGGAATGAGTGGGACACTTCAGGCTATCCCTTAAGGGTGTTGACTGTATTATCTGCAACAGCATTTTTTCCTGTTTTTAAGATTTAAACCGGTCAACAGATCCAGTACCAAGAGCTTATAGTTTTCCACCTGGTATATCTTGATCCGTTGTACCCTGTGTAATTTCCATCAGCTGTTTGGGTCCTGATTTGGTCAATGAGATGGGTCAAGCTGGTGCCAGTTGAGTGAAAGCCCCTAAAGCCTGTCTGGTAGCTGTACAAAATATAATCACGGAGATATCCTTCCACCAGAACATGCACTGCTCTATCTAGGATTTTACATACAACACACAGGATACTAACTGGGGGCAGATTCACTAAAGACTTATGATCACATTTTGTCCCTTTGGCCAACATTAAGGCTGAATGGGTGATTCACTAACAGTTTACTATGCCCTTATCTGAACTTATCGCTACAGTGCCTCCGAGCACTCGTAAGGCGGAAATAAGGTCACGTAACTTCCCATTTCCTCGACTGGACAACCCATACCAAAATAACGTACACAGAACTGCCAGACGTATTACAAGCGTCACTAGTGAGTGTAAAGCTGGAACTAATGATTGCTTTACCTCACGAGTGTGCACTCTGGAGGGAAAGGGTATTTAGGGATCTTTTGAACCATCTACAAATTGATGACCACCTGCTGCTACAGTACTACAGATTTCCACATACAGATATACTCTGGCTGGATACTGGTAGAGTGGCAAGGAGGTCTCATGTGGTCCCTAGACTGTGTTAATAGCTTTGAGGTTTTTTTGTAAGTGGTAGTTTCCAAATTGCAGTTGATAACGCTACTGGCTTAAAGCCAATCAGCTGTGTTAAAAGTTATAGATAAAGTGCCATTTGCTCCAAAATTACAGTAATATCAGTAATCATATTATTATTATTATATTCTTTTTACAGTAGAATCCCGGTTATTCGGTATGGCAGATTCACCTAACCGACATCAAAATGAAATACAGGTATATAGTGGTCCTTCCTCCATTAACGAGCACAATTAGTTCCACAGAGTCACTCGTTAACTGAATCTATTATTTCAGTGGGACATTGGGTACAGTAGAACGTCGATATAACACGAGATATGTTCCAAGAGAGGCTGCTTTAAACCGAATTCGTAATCATATTATTATTATTATATTCTTTTTACAGTAGAATCCCGGTTATTCGGTATGGCAGATTCACCTAACCGACATCAAAATGAAATACAGGTATATAGTGGTCCTTCCTCCATTAACGAGCACAATTAGTTCCACAGAGTCACTCGTTAACTGAATCTATTATTTCAGTGGGACATTGGGTACAGTAGAACGTCGATATAACACGAGATATGTTCCAAGAGAGGCTGCTTTAAACCGAATTCGCACTAAATCGAAGTGTTGTTTTAATGGAATAATTTAGTTTGGTGCTTGAGAGAAACACAAAATACTAAAAAGCCTG